AGATGGAATGATCCTTTAATGTCCGAATATGAAGTCAACATATTGCTTCAAGGTGATACTTTGATGAGAACTCCAGAGAAATCAAGTCGAGAAAAAGTACTCAATGAATTGGCTATTTACAAAGAACGATGTGATGACAATGAAAAAGTTTTAGTAAGTTTTTCTTTGATATATTTAGTCAGTTTGATTAAGTATTCAAAATAAAACTCGTTTCAGTAATTGAACAAATCAATAAAAAACTTCTGTTTTAGTCACGCACTGCTCTTCAGTTATGTGACTTCATCGCCAAGACTGGCCTTTGTGTCGATGTTATTTGCAAAATACTCAAATATCTCTCATTAAATGATGCAATTAATCTATTCTCACCTAATATTCTTCCTATACTATGTCAATTTAACACAAAGGTGGAAATTTGTGACCCTTCAAATGCATTTATCAATATGATTCTTCGAACACTCAACCCTAAACAAATTGTTTCCTTACGTCTTACTAAAAATCCGTATCAAATACCATTACAATCACACTCATTAATTGCTTTGAGTAACATTACCTCATTGAATCTTGTCAACTTTCAAGAATTAGAATCAATCAACAAGTACGAAATATATTTCCCTAAATTGAAGCATCTTTCTCTTTGGTATGACAATGAAGTCAGTCTTCGCCTTTTGAGTTGCAGCTTCGCTAACTTGAACCGTTCAATCAAACGATTAGAAGTTCATTGTCCAGCTTTTGTTTGTATTCATTCGGATTTCAATCAGTACAACACGATCCACTCTGAAAACTGCTTCATTGATTATTTTCTTCTTGACATGAGGAACTTTCCGTTATCATCAACTAGCGATTGTTGGCAACAAAATGAGTCATGTAATTTGATGACAGTGATTGGTTTTATCAAAAATATGAACTTTATACAACACATTCAATTAATTACCAATGAATACAACGTAAATACATTATTATGTCTAAATGAATGGACCAAATTGACATATAATCGTAATACATTGAAGAGATTAACTTTGGATGTAGTGGGATATATGGTAAAAGATGAAGAATTGACGGAAAAAATAGCAATACTTGAAAATGCCTTGCAACCGGACATCCAATTTCAACTTAGATCAATATAATTGGTTTCGTCTCATGTTTTCAATTGATATGATTCATATGGAAAAATTCTCAAATCACTTTTTAAAATAGAGAGATGCATAAAATAAAACAATATAAAACTTGATACATTTTCTTCTCCTCGAATTGCATTGAGTTGTCTATCTAATCAATGTTACAGTAACACGTTGGTTATTTGCAGATTCATCGTGTTTTTATAGAATCTTGTTTACACTTTGTTTCTTTTATTTTCGCGGGTAAAATGCTTTTCTCTTTTAGACACATGTTGTTATTGTCAATTATGATATTTCAATCACATTTTTTGATGAGAGTAAATGATGTGTCATATAAATTTGAGATTTAAGCAAAATTAAACAGACTTTTTAAAAGATTTGAAAACTAAAAAGTCGTATAAAAGCAAGAATATCTGTTGATCTTATATATTTATATTAAATTATGTTTTGCTTTAATATCAGGCTAGTTACATTCAAAGAACTATAGAGTTCGATTTGGCTCTGTCAGCTTATGATTTTTGAATAGTATTTTTTTTTGTCCATATTTATTTGGCTTCGAATTGTATGTTGAGATATGGGTGTGGGTGTGTGAATATGAGTATTGTTATTCTAACAATCACACACATGCTATACTCCACACCGACACCCTTGTGATTTACTAATCATGAATTGGATCCAATACATAATTAATCACAGGTCAAAATCTCGACTTTAAGTCGTAAGACAACATTGCCATCAAGTATGGGCGATAGAGCTCGACGATCTCGATCTGTTGTAAATTTATTCAGTGTTCAATTGTTGCCACACAAGAACCTCCTGAATCAACTTTTGGTCATTTTTAGAGAAAAATGCTAAGCTGCTCTTTTTAAAATCGGCACTGCCAATAATTGAGTAGATGGAAATGGTTGGATTTTTGCATTTAAGACGATTATTGATCAACAATTACTTCTAGAAATGCTAGGACTTGAAATTCAGAGAGTCGAAAGAGAACAGTCGTTTGTTTGTATAAAGTGCAAAACAATGGCGATTAAAGAATTCATTTTTACTTTGAGGATAGTACTTCAGAAACTCATCTGATTGAGCTGAAAAGTTCAGGATACACATAAGTTACTACTATGCACAGCATATTACAAAATTAGCCAAATCGAAGATATCACTTGATCGTCGGTGTCTGAAAATCTCAGAAACTCACTCTTAAATAAATAACACGAAACGCGTCGACGAAATTAAACTCTGCATTATTTTTTATTTATTGATTCATACAAAGTACATCAAATTTCACTTTGAATTACTTCGACAAAAGTCGATTGCTAAAAAGCAAGAGGTGAAAACTGCAGATTAGGCTTGTCTTTTGGTCAAGAAATAGGTCTATCTCTTTTTCGATTGAATTACCTGTTGAACTGAAAATTCATTCAAATAATCTGCACTTCAATATGTTGTTGTGTTAGAAATCATAAAGTAAGTGTTCAACGAAATAGAAAATTCATATTGTATTAGAAGTTTCACTTCACTAATATCTATATTCTTTCGGAAAAGTATCTTCAAAATTAAAAAGGTTCCTTCAGATGCACAAACTTGTGCCTTTAATTTACATTTAATTTTTGTTTTTGAATATGAAATAGAAAACAAATGATTCTGTTTCGATTTCAGGGCTCAAATTTCCACAAAATTAATTTCAGTTTAAGAACCAATGAAAACAAAAGATTAAAGTCGAACTATGGCCTTTTTCTAAATCAATTTGCGACAAAGACACCTACAAATGCTAGATGTTTCTTAAAACCATCATTGCCATTTTTCCAATTGACATCATCTGTTCAAACGATTAATCATGTACTGAATATTCGTGATGATGAAAAGATTTGCACAAAATGGATGAATTATCAAGACAGTTCTCTTTCATATTACACAGATCATCAATGTATTAGTGATATTTCAGTTGCAAACCAAAAAGCAAACTGACGTCTCTATTGTCAGGGTATGTCACTAACACCTCCAACAACAAATTTCCATCATGAATGTGGTAAGCCACAGTATACACCGCTAGAACATATAGGGATAAGGTATATGAACCAATAAATTGCAGATAGTAGCTTTTAAAATTTCTTTTATAGCTATGGCAAGTATATTTACGAAGTTCAAAAGTTACCTGTGGTAGCACTCTAATCGATAAATGACATGTCCAGACGACTGCACATTGCATTAAAAGAATATTGGTTGCAAGCGATTATAAAATCATAGTAGATTCACATGACGAAGGTAAATCGAAGTGTATAGAACAGGTAATTATTGTGGAACAGCTCTATATGCATGAACAGTATGATGATTCAATAATAACGAATCATCTATCCGTTATTCGTTTATCTAAACCAATGTGAATCTCAGATAGAGTAAATATAATTCGTTTTCCAGGCTCAGAAGCAATTACTATCAACACAACAGTTTGAATCGATAAGAAAGTGTGATGATTAGAACTTCTAAGCAGATGAATAAAAAATTTGTACTTTTTCTTTTTGAAGCTAGGTGGAGTAACACACCGCTAAATGGTCAACCGAGTACAGTATTGAAACAAAGTTCTCTAAAAAAAACAAATAGTAGCACTCAATATTGGTCACCTGCATATTACAAAAGGACAACACAAATCTGTGCTTGTACATTTGACGGATTAGGTGATACCTGTGACGGTGATATCGATGAAGCATTGATGTATCAAGAGAATGAGAGTTTTGGGGTGAGTGTATGGGTGTGGGATGGGCGTGTGCGTATCTGTTTGGGTGTGAGTATGAAGAGAAATGAATATCCATACTATGCACACCCACACTCTCGTTACTGTTTTGGTCTGATGCTCAATAAAATAGAGTTGTTTCTTGAATTCGATCAAGTACATACAATCAAGTGTCCTTTGATGTGAGTAAGTTTCCTTTTTAGATTCACTTTTAGCTCAACACCGGAGTGCCCGAACAGACTCAGTACCTAATTGTTAAAAATATAACCATTACAATGTATCAACTTCATTCATTCACCATTAAAAAGAGCTATGCATGTTTTTGTTCTTAATGAAGGTGTAGATGTGACTTTTGGTGTGTGTGGGTGTGCCTAGGAGCGGGCAGAGAATGCACACACACTCATAGGTACCCACACCCCACACCCATATTTTTAGATTTGATAATAAAAGGTGATCATTTGACTAGTTGTAATTAATCGATATTGCAATAATACTAAATCTATACGGTACATTTCAATCTTAACAATAGGAGCACTTATGTCTTACGAATAAACTCAGTTTCGAAGATGCACAAGACTTTTACCCATACTGATGTTCTCTATTTATTAGAATTGTTACTTAAAAACATCTTTATGTGTTCATATACCGTTGCATAGCGACCTCTTTTCTACATATCATTTGTTTCTTTAAAAGCAGACTTTTTTGATCAACTCAACGAAAGAAATAAAATTCGATGAAATCCTAGATAATCAGCTTTTAAATGTATGTGAAGGGTCGAAAATAATATGATTGGTAAATTGATGCTTGGAGTTTTTCTACAAGCATCTGTAGAATGGCATGCATGAAGACGTATTGACTATTTCGTTCTTATGTCTACACATATTAATGCTGACATGAATCTATCAAATAGAACAGTCGAAGGTTTTATCAAATTTGGCAGGCGTACAACAAGTTTGATACACTTCAATGATCACCCAACTATGGCAGATGTTAACTATGAAATATACAGATGGTTCAAGGACATTCTGCCAAGTGAGTTCCACATCGAATTTTACAGTGAGAAGAAAAACATATTTCTTCATCTTAACCAAAACGTCTTGAATTCTGAATTCAATCCATTTCAATTTGATGCAAATGATAGCAGTTCAGAAACTATAAGTATTATGGATTATGTGCAATTGTTTGTCGTCAAAGATCCACCTAAGGATGATCAGGTTAATTCTCGACCTGGTATGTGTGAGTTGTTAAACAAATTGTACATTTTTCTCTTCCTTTTAGACACACTAATGTTATCTGATCAACTTGATGATGCTTTAATCAATCCAATATCATTAGGTGAACTTAATGATGCTTTATTACCCTTACCAGTCAGTTTAAACTCATTAAATTCAGGTAAAATTTTTATAAACAAATCTAAATAATATTGTCTTTTATTATAATAGTTCTATCTGAAAACAACATTTCAACCAATGATGCAAATGAACATACTGATGATGATACTATGGAAGAGAATTCAGGTAGTATTTTCAAGAAAGAAAAATAAAAGACATTTAATTATATTTATTATTTATTGTAACAGCTGAAAATAATTTAAATCAAGAAATTAATTCCCAAAATTCACCTGCATCATCAAATGAATATCAACTTGCTACTCAAACAATCGATGAAAATCCTACACGATCTAGTCGAATACAATTTTCACATGATGTTGAACCAGAACAAAAACATCATTATTTATCTAATAAATACAGTATAGCTGATGGATCAGATAAGACTGGTGGTATCAGTTATATACAAGGTATTAAAACGAAAGAAGAAATGAAAAAAAAAGTACAAGTTTTACCGCATCTTCTGGTCAGTATTTTTTTATTTGTATATTAAGTAATTTTTCAAAAACTAATCATTTTTTAATCTCAGATTCCTCGATTATATCGTCTAATGAATCCACTTACTCTGTTAGTATATGCTGTATATGAAGAACAAGAAAATGGAATGCGAATTTGGTATAAAAATCATCATAAAGGCTTTTTATTATATGATCAAATAAAATACGGTGCAGAATTTTTTAATCCAATTATATTGAATTTACATAATATCCGATGGCAACAAGATGGGGATGGAGATTATATGTACGTTTGTTTAAAGTATTTAATAATAATTATTTGCATACTTTCTTTAGATTAGAGATTTATATGTTAACTAAACTCGACAAAAAATTAAAGCAGAAAGAAGAAATTTATCGATTTGATGAAAAAGTAATTGATCAGATACATAAAGCTAAACATATTATATCCTCTAAAAGAAAACATTTAAAACCGACACGTTTATTAGCTGTTCTTAAAATCGGAAATGAAACTTATTGGCATACATGTGGTTTATCAAATTTTATTCAACCACCTACGTAAGAAATAATCATAGCATGAAGCAAAATAAATTTTTATATTTTCTTCTTTAGCAAAAGTCTTCCATCAGTCGATTTGAATGATAGTTCGACAGGTATTTTTTGTTTTTTTCCGAAGGAAACTTTGCCATCTATTGATTTGTTTTTTCGTTTTTAGTACCAGTCACATTACCAGAAACTAATATTAATTTGAGTAGAGTTGATTTATCAGCTTTTTTTCAACCATCTACGTAAGAAATAATCACAGCTTTATATAGAATCATTTATTGTTCTTTTTTTACATTTAGAAAGAAACTTCCAATTACGGGTTTAAATGCTATTACTGAAGGTATTATTTTTTTTTCTAAATGAATTTTCTTAACTACTATTTATTTTTCAATTTTAGCACAAATCATGTTACCAGCACCTAAAAGAAAAAAGAACTAAGTATCTGTCTTCCATTGGAACACAAACTGTTTCATATACAAATTAAACATAAACATAAAACGAAAGATTTTTATCAATCGTTTGTCTTTCTTTCTCTATTGCTGTTATCAAACTCTGTGATATATGTAGTTTTTCTATATTCAGCATTGTTCTGTTCTTTTATGAATGTTTATCTTGAATCCGAATGTTATGTCTCTATTTTTAAATATTTTCAAATGAAAGATTTAAAATATGCATGAAAGAAAAGGATATACGTGTGGGTGTGGTGGAAGAAAATATTTCCAGTTCTAGCCACATCCATACACTCGAAATTATTTATCGAATTCACTTTCGTGCATTGTCAATAATCGAATATTCAACAATGTATTTTTGATATTTTCACTTATTTTTCTTTGGATATTCCGAAGGACTATTTGAGTTCTTTTCATATAAAAATCAAATTATTTGTTTGAATTTCTCTTAGAATCAACTTCAAAAACTAATTTGTATGGTATAATGTCAAAAAAAATCAAATGAATTTGATTTAAGCTGTTGCTAAGTTCAAGTTTAAATAAGATTTTATTTATTCAAATGTACCGTACATTAATTATCATGTAGAATCTAATGCCAGTGATAAATTTATAGTTTCTTTTTAATTTCAGAGATAATTTTGTCCTTATGGAACAAGTTTCTATACCTTGAATCATTCTAATATTGAAAAACAGAATACATTTTTTGATTGATTCTCCTGTTGAAGATTTGATAAATAATTTTATTCGAATCAACATTGATACTTGAGTACAACGATGATGTTTGATGGATTTTAAAGTAAAACAACTGTTGAATGCTGATGTTTTCACCAACTCTCTACATGAACATAAAAATATTTAACTTTTATCCTATTGAATAATTTTAATCTACATCCTTTTTTTTAATAATAAGTAAAACCAATTTATAATACAAAATCAATCTACAAAAAAAGCCAAATAACACAGAGCTCAACAAAAAGAAATATTTTTTTATCAAAAATTCTTGTTCGGAGAATAAGGAAAGCAAATTTTGAAGTAAACTTTTCTTATTTGTTCTAAATAAAACATTGATTTTATTGATAAGAAAACGTCTGAAAGTCAACATAATTCACTAAGAACAAACTTTTGGATTGATTTACAAAGTTAAAACTTATTAAAGTCTAATAGAAAACGTTCAAAATAGTTGTACGAAATAAATACTTAAGTTTACAATCAATTTAATCTTATTCTCACTCTCAAGTTTTAATTACTATTCTGAGAAAAAATTTGCTTTATCGAAGCTTGAGTCGAACAATATTATCATTTATCCTGATATTAAGATGATTCAAGTTATTGAAATCGTTCGAAAAGAGGAAAATTTTTTAGACGAATAATAAAGAACATATTGGTTATTTAACGACAAATTTTCCGTTGAATAGTTTATAATAGACAAGAAAAAATCAAATTTACTCCAGCACATCGAATTAGTTTAAATTTATTTTGATCTTCATTTTTAATGATTAAAAAAGAAACCCGAAGTTTTTTTCGAATGATTTGAAAATGTTTAAATATTTTCATTGCTTTTAACTTACTAACTTTGCCGTTTCTCATCTTGGATTTTGATCGATTATTTTTATAAAATGAAAACCTTATTGTAGAAAATTCAATTTTAATGATCTCTTTGTTTATGAAATAAAATCCCAGTCAATGATATTAAATAAATCATAAAGAAAAATCTTTTAGTCGAAGACTTTTTTTGATCAAATTTTTGTTTGATTTTTAACTTGGAAAGCATTCGAGATTAAAATACAAAATATTTTCACGTATATTTTCTTTCTTCTTTTTTTTTGTTGATAAAAAGACACAGACAATATGAGAACAGTTTGAGTTTTGTTTTAAATATTTCATTGTCAAAAATCGATCATTTAAGTTGGGTGTGTGGATGCCAGAAGAAACGCACGTCATACAGGGCCGTATACGATTGAGGAGGATCGATCTGCGATAGTAACTTATTTTCTCTTGAATTACGTTTCTCTTTTGTATTCATTTTATGCAATTGTTATTCAAGTGTCTAGGGATGCGTGTATAAGTGTGAGTGTAATTGAAATGAATAGCTACATTCACACCCACACCCTTTATTTATGCCAATGAATCAAAAATATAACACTAGCATGATTAAAATAACTAATGAATGAGAATATTAACAAAATACAGAAGCATTAATAGGTTCATATGTGCTTCTTTCTATTTTGAAAAGTTATTTTGATTTTACAGTATCAACCGTGCTAAAAATGAATAAAATAGTACATCATAATGTTTCTAAGGTTTCTTAGTCAAAATAAAAGCTATCGAACTGAAATTTCCTAGTTATTCAGTATTATGTCAGTACAATAATTTAGCAAAGTTTCAAAAAGTTTTGGTTTGTTGACTTGAAGAACGATGAATTTTAAAATTGTTCCAGAACTTATCGAGCACTCTTTATTAGGATGGATCAGATGTAAGTATCAGTATTCATTTTATTGATATGCACACATTCACACTCACACCCTCAGATTTCATCATCATAATTTGAGTGACTCCATCGTTTTTCATATTTTGTTGTTGTGAAGATTGCGCTAAAAATTTCTTTTTAAGTAGGTTCGCCTTTTGTTAAACATAAAATAACAAAAAATGGCAAATAGAAGAAAAAAAAGTCACATCTAGGCATGCACCAGTTCAGGTTATAGAACTGGAATCTGTTAGAACTGATCGAAAACGAAAGTGCCCGGAGTTCCATTACAAAATGATCAACTTTTTCTCAGGTCGTCTCCAGGGCTGAAGCTCTCAGCGAAAGCTCCTACCATGATTTGAAATCCGATAGCTCAAAAAACAAAAATTTCCAGCTCATTGTATAGAAAATTGACATCTTATTAGGAAATAGCCTGACAAATGTCGAAAAATCTATCTGAATGTTTCCACCTTAAATTTAAGTCATAGGTAGCTATCAATGATATGACGTACTTCGGGAAAATTCAGCTCACCATCTTGTATCCATCAACAGTAGACACGTTACTCATCAATTTTTCGGGCCCGCTATCATTCCCGTCTCATTTGAAACACTTTTATTGCTAAAAAAATATCTTGTAGTTCTCGTATACTACTATGACTTATAGCATTTTGTACCAGCTCTAGTATTGTATAGGAACTCACACAACAACAGAACATATCTCTGACAAATATTCGAAAGGTATCTCCCAATACACTTTCGATAACAAGGTGAATCTTATGAGCAACCATATATTACTGCTAAAGAACAGTGGCTAAAATATATTCTCGGAATGATGAGGTTCATCTGGATTCTTCTATCAGGTGAGTGGCTATTTATTGAAATTTACTCCATCGGAATATTCTGATGGATTTGAGACAACCTACCAAAATTAGCCAAAACTACCATATCTCATTTATGGTTAACCATGGTTAAAATCACAGATCGACATGTTGACGTCTAATGTGTGCGTTCCAGTACAAGATCAATGGTTATTTCTCGCCGTTTGTGATTTCGGTATTTTATTATGGAGATTGCTAACTATTGTTGAAGTTTAAGATGGAAACATTCACATAAATTTTTTTTGTTTTTGCCTGACTATTTCTCGGTGAGATGGCGATTTTCTACATAATGAGATGAAAATTTTTTCTTTGTGCTGTGGGGTTTCAAATCATAGATGGAGTTTATCCTATAGTTTCAGCTCTTTAAACAGTTACAGAGAAAAGTGCATAACTTTGTGATGAAATTCCAGCCACTTTTGCTTTCGACTAGTTCTGATTGGTTCCGATTCTATAGAACCAGTGCATTCCTAATCACGTGACTTTAGCCGAGCTTAGCGCGAAACTCAGCCATAGAGAAGTTGGGATCGATTTTGCGACCTTTTGGTACCGCCGCCTCCTTATGTCCCAACACGCGAGCAGTAGGCACACCATAGGCCTTCTGGAGAGCTTTAACACCTTTCACATAGCTCTGGTATTGCACTTCCGGCCAGTGTGCATGTCCACTATCAGTAGCTGGTAAACCAACTCCTTCGGCCTCAATACCGATTGCGTTGGAATTTCCATAGATAGAGTCATCGACGGTGTTGCCGGCATGGTAGGCACGACCTGCTGCAATGACAAACCAAGTTCCCGATCGGCCTAATCCAAGTTGAGCAACTGGTCCGGCAAGACTGGGTGTACCGTCGCGAACGGTCGCCAAGGAGGGATAGTCACCTGTCTTTGGACCTGCCGTGTGATGAACAATGATACCTTTTACAGAAGCCATCACGCCGTGACCACGAGTCCTCCAGCCGGCAACTTCGACCACATTGAGACCGGCACCACGAAGAATATCGGCCAAACCCGTAAGCATCGTGTTCGTTGGTTTACTGGGGCCAGGACCAGTTGAAGTAGATCCTACCGTACAGCATTGAATATGGTTGGCACCAGGACACAAGTTGGCCGGATCAGAAGTTCCTTTACAAGTTGAAGTTGGTTGACATATGCCCGCGACACCCTTACTATTCTTGCATGTACCATATGTGCAACACTGAATCGAATTGTCACCAGGACAGAGGTTGGCTGGATCTGAGACTCCACCGTTGGCTGAACATGTTTTTGTACTAATACATTCTCCACTACGACCGTTTCTGGCCGCACACGTTCCGTATTGTTGTGCAACGGTGGTCAAAGGCAGAACCAATGCCACCATGAATCGCATAATGATTTGCATTGGAATATCCTACGAGTACAAATGAGTGGTACAATAAGTATAATTCATGGACGGCGCAAGCTCAAGTGTTTAGGGGGTAGCAATTAGGTTTTACACGAATATATTTTGTCTTGAATACAATTTTTCTCAAAGGCATAATACGTGAAAGTTTGAGTACAAAATCACCGGATAGTATACCATGCGCTGCAAATTAGTGGAATACTTTCATTGAAAAATGTTCGACACAAAAAGATTCAATGCTTTTTTACCTTTATCTTCAGTTCACTGACTATGGC